TCTATCTATCTATCTATCTATCTATCTATCTATCTATCTATCTATCTATCTATCTCTGTCTCTCTCTCTCCCTTCCTGTGATAATAAATGACACCCCCACCCCACCTCTTTTTGGCTATTCCGTCTTGGTGTGTCAAAATTGTAGATTTTTGCCTCTCTATGGGGGAAAATATCTAACTTTACCCGACTCAATTCCACTGAATTCAACAGGCAGTATGTACTGGGTAAAAGATTCCCCCCTCCACCCCCGCCCAGTTTTTATTATTTTCCCTCTTGTGTTGTACGTGTGACCGCGAGCTGACCAGTCCACTGGTATAAACATTGGCGTAGAAACCAGCCTCACTTGGTAGGCCAGGCAGTAGCTTCGGACAACACGAAACCGGAGGAACTAATTACCAGCGAGGGATAACTTTACATCTGGTACATCATGTCTCGACTCCGGGCTCGCTAGAAGGGAAATTGAACTGCGTGATGTCAGAAAAAAAAATGTACCAACAGTCCACTGTGGTGTCCTCTCAGAAATTGGGTTAAACCTATCCGTACGCCCTGGGATCATTTTGTACCCCCGGGGTTGTATTCTTCACATTTTAGAATACTTCTAGATCTAGTGCGAAGATCTCTTTGAAACGTTCTGTATTTCTAAAAAAAATCATTTTGACATACTGCTATCAAAGCGTACGGATCGGATTAACGAGTAAATTTCCTCTATCGAAAGTGGTGGCACAGAGTTCCCCACGTCGTATGGATACGATAGTAAAACACGACGTTCGGTTAGGGTTAAGTGGGTGGACATGTGTCTGATACGCAAGTGTGGTGTAGTGGGTAAGCATCTCTCTGTCGCACCCAGAAGACCAGAGTTGGATTCCCATTTGGGGAGAAGTTTTATCGAATATCTCGGTCTGTCTGTTGGATATTGTATCCTTCTTAGGCCATATGGGTTCTGATTGGCAGGGTCAGAAGACTGCCTCCAAAATGATCTAATTGGTGGCGGCCTTGAAACACAGCC